TAGGTGCTTAGTGCATTCTCAAGTAAGTATTCATGTTATACAATAATGTACAATTTTACAAACTAGGTAATGAGTTATTAAGATTGTTTTATTATGCAAAGACACATTTTTGAACATGTTTCTAGTAATTTTGCATATAAAAATCTTTGAGATGAATTTTTTATTCTTAATTCTTCATATTTGCAAAGAAATTCTACAAGTAGATTCTTGAACTTCTCTTTTATTGATTTATACCATCTTATTATCAATGATTAGTTTTTAGTTTCAATAGATACTGTCAATAAAAATTAGATTCAAGCTTAATACATTTATTAGAGTTTTACATGGCTACTATCTATATTCAATGATATCATATCCATGCTAATGTATGAAATATTACAATTGTTTTTAGCCATCAATAATGTCTTATATCAAGACGATAATATTATTCAGTAATTTAATCATTATAAAGGCATTAATTGCTACCTTCAACAATATAATTTATATTTGAATCCAAGACTACTTCTACTTCAAATTCTTAGATGTTTTCTATTTTAATAAAATATAGTGGTGACTACTTTCTTTTTAATATGTTCATTGACATGTAAGACTCGATAAAAAAAAAAAAAAAAAAAAAAAACATAGAACATAATATGGATCTTTATTGATAGTAGTAATTGTAATTGATTTGATATTGAATTAATATATTTTTGTTAACAAATAGACTAAGCCTTTAATGATCTGACTTATTACAAGGTTGATTAGTTTTGACAATACAACAAAGTAATTATACCTTATCACTTGTTTTGAATGAAGGTTATTCTTATTCAAAAATATTTTCGTTTTATTTTTTTTATCTTTCTTGAGCCTCTTTTAATTGTATCTTCATTGTTATAAGAAGTTCTTTTATTCTACTTGCCGAATCTTTTATTATTGGATTTTTTATTCTTATAAAATCAAAATTATCAGATTATAGATAACATCTATAATTAATAAAATAAATATTATTTTATATAATATATTATTATATAAATTATTTTATTATTATGATATTAAAGATATAAAAACTATAAATATAATATAATAATTATTATAATACTAAAGAAGATATAAAAATATAATTAGTTGAATATTACAAACAAAAAAATTAAATATTAAATTATATATATTTCATTTAGGTTTATTAGATTATTTTATTAATATAAATTTTATTTTAATAAAATTTTGTTTTATCTTTTTTTAGTTGTTTATTGTTATGAATTATTATATAAATATAGAAGTATAAATCATATTTTTTTAATAAATTACTCCAGGTTGTAGTTGTGAAACATCAAACCTATTAGCCATTAAACTTATATATATAAAAAATTATTAAATCTCTTTATTTCTATATCAGTGTGAGGCCAAATTTCACCACTTGATGAAACCTATGCCACACAACAAGTCCAAGAGGTGGAATTGGAGAGCTCCCAATTGTGTAATTGTTAGATTAATTTAAATCTTTATATTAAAAATTCAATTAGTTTTAGGCCTTCCAAGCAATGGTTACCAACATTAAATTAACATGTTAAATAAAATTTACTATGTAAACGTAGTAAAAATAATTAACTAAATTATTACTATTAATTGACCATAAGAATAAAAACTTAAGTTTGAATTAAAAGTTAAGTTAAAAGTTAAGTTAAAAATTTAAGTTAAAAGTTAAAATTCAAAGGTTAAGTTAAATATAAATAAATAAATAAATAAATATTAATTATTTAAAAGTTAAGATTAAAGGTTAAGTGAAAATTTAAAATTAAAAGTTCAATTTAAAAGTTAAAAGTTAAAAGTTAAAGTGAGAATATTAAAGGTTAAAAGTTAAACTTAAAATTTATTAGCCATAAAGTGAAATGTGGAGATTACAAGTCACTATGAAGATGATAGTAAAAACAAAGTAAGAGAGGTGGAAGTGAAGGTACCTTGACAACACGTAAGGATTGAAGGCAGCGACCCCCTTCTACTCCAAAATTTGCAAAAATTTGTAATCGGCTTCAATTTGAATGATTCTTAGCTTGTTACAAGGCTAACTTGAAGACGCTTTTGATCCAACAATCCTCGTTGCTATCTAATGAACCAGTCGTGAGAATTCCTCCTTTGAAGTTGAGTGATCCAAACTGCCGTGGTGACCAACCCTCTTCACTTAGAAATTGACTAAAAATTAAGATTGTCTTCAAATTCAACAAAACTTGTTCCTTTCAGAGCTTAGCTTATAAAGATTGATGCTCCCAAAATTTCAAATAAAGCTAATCATCAGGCACTAAGAAATGCCTTTCCAAACTCGATTGATTCAAACTGCAAAGGTAGTCGACTCCCTCAAACTCAAAAATTCACCAAAACTTCTTTCTTACTCCAAATCAAGCGAGTCTTATCTTGTCGGAAAGCTAACAACAAAAGCTACAATTATTTAGAATCTCAAATTGAAAAAAAAGAAATTGAGTGACTGATTGAAGAAAATCCAAGGCCCTTAAAACCCTTGGGGTATTTGAAAGGCCGAGGAGATATCTACCTCAATGAAACATATTTTAAAACTTAATGACCATCCTTCATAATTCATAATCCATATATACACGATCACAAGGTTCACAATGAGAATTAAAATCTAAATAAAATTAAGATTAGGATTTTGGCCAAATTTTGGCATGGATCCACCCAAAAGAAGAGAGAGAGAAGGCTTGGAAAACCAAGCCTCTCTTCTACAATTGAATGGAGGCTCGTAGAAGGGTGGCTACATCTTCACCCTTGATTTTTAAGATTCCTAATCTAGATCTACGGCCTTCATTCATCCAAGAGCCAATCTCATTACCAAGGCTGATGGCTCTTGTAAGTGGTCAAGAAAGCATTTTTTTGTAAATCTAACTTCACTATTGTGTTCAAAATACCTTTTTAAGCTAAGATTGACTACTCACATGCCTCAATCCATGCTCAATTATAATTTTCATGGAAGTTTTTACTTATAAGGATCTTAGCAATTTTTGTGAAATTCTTCAAAATGAGAATTTCATTGCTTCTCTTGTATTTTGAAGGAGAGGTGGCTGATGTTGTTTTCTTCACTCCACGAGGTAAATCCGATGCCACCATTGCATTAAAAAGACTCCCATTAAGTAGAAGAACCACCATGCTACTTGAATTTGTCGAATTTGGAGGAAAATCCAAAATTATCATTGCTAACTTCTCTAAATCTTTTAGAGAATTATAATTCCAACTCCTAAATCATGTGAATGATTATAGATGCACTCATAGGCTTTTAGTCAACGCTTATAGTAATGACTAACAACCTCTAAATTATTAAACTAACTAAGTTGCTATTCTAATTTTCTAACTCTTATCACTTTAGTCCTAATTAACCTAATTCAAGAAATTAGATTATAATTTATACCATCAAGGGTTGTAATCCTAAAAATTCTATAAAACTAAATTCCACTTATATAAATCCTAATCTAACATGTTTAATTATCATAAAATAGGAAAATAATAAAAATTTAAATTTTAGAGTATAATTGACAGCTCACAATGATCAATCTAATGTTTTTTTTATTTAGATTCAAATTATTTCATGACATTGGTAAAATATTTCTTAAGAATAAACTAAATTAATAAGTCATCCAAAAAATTAAAAAAATTAAGGTAAAAATTTTAGAAGAATTAAACAATTAGATGTATGTTATTTCTAATTCTATTATAATTAAGTTATATTGTGGTGCAAAAAAATAATATAGAAAAGCTATAAAGATGCAATTTTTTTACAAATAAGACAAGTATTTTTTTGACATTGGCAAAGAATATTGAAAAACTAATATTACTTAAAGGCTAGATTAACATTTTTGTCTTAATTTTGTCAAAAATGCTTTATAATATTGATACCAAAATATATCAAAATATGTTTTTGGTTTTAATTATTTATAATTTTATGCCATGTAAAAATCAACTATATAACAATATTAATTTAAATTAGACTCAAGTAACTAATATTTTATAATTTTGGCAACAAAGTCTAAAAAATAGTTTATTGTCTTTGTATAAATTGACCATATATTTTTTCCCTATGACATATTTTTTAGAATTCTATCGTAGTATTCAAAATCTCCTTGTTTTTTTATCTTCAACATGTACTACATCAAATATATATCAACTCTAAGTTTTGCGTGCATCTTAAGTTTTGGTTCTATCTAGTATACATTTGTATTTTTGCTCCATCTTTAACTATGATTTTACTTACCTGCTTGTTGTCGACCATGACCCCTTCTTAGAATAATAATAACATTTAGTAAAGGTTCAATAAACAACTTTAAAATCAAAATTAAACTATTAAGTCTAAAAGTGTGCAAAATGCATATTTTGTTATGGATACTTTGATGTTGCTTGTAAAATTTCCACACTCTTGTTGCAAGTTGAACCAAGAAAAGTAATGTCCACTTTGGAGACAAATGGTTGTCACTACTAATAGTGCTAAGCATTCATTCTTGCCATTGTGTTTTTTGGATAAACGAAAGTATCTCTACCTGTTCTTAGACTACATCTATTGATTGAATCTATTTGTTCTTGTATTTGTATGCAATTGCTTACGCCCCCATCAAGTTAAACAAGCACTTCCGAGATGGGGGAGCACAATCGTGCCTCGCCGTGCAACCTCACATTACTAAATGCTTTCAACCAGGGAGCAGCATCTTGTTGCCTGTTTGTGTAGCAGATTGGCTTTGCGTAACCGAGCGCGCCCGTCCCTTCCCAGATCCTCAACACGAAGCGAGAGCCTCGTTGCGCACAGAATTCAGACCATGACACAAACCGAGTAAAGTCGGGGTCGACAATCGCACGATTCCGAGGCTAAACTGCAACATCACTAGGATTTTACAAGATTTCCAAAATCTGCTCACAGGAAGCATATCCAGCGCCTACAGCACAAATCGCACACATTCTTCACATCGCAAGACCCCGGGAATCACCTCCCGACACCACAGCAGTTCCACATTTGATGACTCATGCCATGTTTTTAATCCAGCCAGCCTTTGGCCAACTTCGATTATCGGACTCGGTTTGTACACTCAAATGTGCGTCACACAGTTCTCGGAATCAAGCTTGTCCAGGTTCTGTGCGCACGGCACCCGCAATCTAAAATCCCAAAGGGTTCGGAAATTTCCGGAGAAAGTCTAGTTTCTAGCCTAAATTCGCTCGTCGCCGTTCGCAACCTTGTGCGGCCCCAATGTGGAACCCCATTCTGATCTCACTGTACAAAATTTGCAAAACTGGCAGTTGCCCCTCACCATTCCCTCTCTACGCGTGTTGCAATCGTCGGGTTCGGCACGCTCATGTAATGCGTCCGAGCGGTGTCTCTGTACGCCGGGCACAAGCTCCGAGAGTATGACTCGCTCCTCGAGCCGTCGTAGCTGCGGTCGGAGTGCGACCTCTGCTCTCTCACGTTGTATTGGACGTACTCCCTGCGACCCCTGTCTTCGAATTGGCCTCGGTGTGATCTCTGGCACGAGGACTCCTCGTATCTGTGCTGCTTGTTGCGAGAGCAGAATGTGGCGCAGCCTTTGGCCTGCTTCAATCCATTCAGGCCCTCTACAGGCTCCAAGTACCCCGTCACGGTCACCCTCTGCACGCCGGGGTCGCAAACCACGTCTTGGACGCCCCGCACCGCATACAGAGCGTCTCGCACCTGGTCTTCGCACCCAGCGCAGCACATTGGCGCCATCAGGTCAAATCTGCGCAATCCCGATCGACCACGACTGGTGCGGGACAATTCGGGCATGGCCGGTTGCGGGGTGTACGAGTGCGACCCCCAGCTTGTGGAGCTTCTTTGCCGCCCATAGTGGACCAAGTAGACGGGCTCGCTCTCACCGTAGAACAACTCTTGCATGGATATTGCCATTGTGCGAACCAACCGACGACTGTCGATCGCGACGACTACACGGGCCCTGGCTCGGAGGCGTTGAGAAGAATTTCGAAGTCCAGCGGTTGGTTGCTTCGCCGAGGGACATAGCGAGGGGCCTGCACAGAGATGCACTTGGCAATCAGCGTGGAGAAGCAAAAGGCCCGGCGAAGCATGATAAATAGTAGGAGATGGATGGAAGGAAGGGGAAAGGCAGGCGAGGCAACTTGCAAGTGGAGTGGGGGCGCCACCGTGTGAGTGATGGTGCCATCCATCGCAAAAGAAGAAGAAGCAGAGAAGGTGAGGGGGACGGGGACAGGGCTGGCATCTCTCCCTCTCTCGCTCACTGTGGGCTGTCTCGACTCTGGCCTTCCTTGCCACTCTGCCGTGTGACGTCGCGTGCTTCTTCGCCCTTGCCAGTGTGCCTCCCTGGACAACCCCCCACCCAGCGGTGAAGCTCGGCCCTTTCACTCCTCGCACCAGATCACAAAGATCTAATAGTAAAATAGTTGGAAATGCTTTTGTGTGGATTTGGACTTTTGATTTGAATGACATCTCATTATCTCAAAACTCGCAGTAATTCTTAGGCTCGTTTTTCTACTGGGAGTGGAACAGAATGTGTTGTACGGCGAAAGATCTTCTCTTTTGTTGTGCCACGGTTTCTACACCTACATGTTTTCCAATAATGATACCACAGTCTGTAAATGCCGCGCCATGATTACCAAATGGAACTTCTCGACGTGTACGAGATATTTCGATGTTGGGTTCGAGAAAATTTTACTTGATATTATTTCGAATCTTATTTTCCTTAAATTTTTCTCACGGCGTGATGCTTTTTTTTTGGGAACCTCTAATGTGCACAATCACGACCTGCTCCTGAGCACCATCCGTGTAAATGCAGAGTGACACTCACCCGTCCACTTCCCCTAAATAATTCATTGGTCCATTTATTGATTCATTCATTCGTTCGTTCAATCACTCACTCACTCACTCACTCAATTAGGCGTGAAGTAAAGGACATGGGGCCGTGGAGGGCACATCAAGAAGCAATTCAAGCTGCCGGTGGAAGGAAGGATGGCTCATCGGCCTCACAGGCACTAGTGAACAGCAAGCCTTGTCTGGCTTGGCAAGTTGGGAGCCATGCTTCCATTGCTTGGGGCACCCGTACCCCCTTGCAAAGGTTGGATGAATGCACCTGTGAATGGATGATGGTTGAGGTTTTGTGCAGGCCAGGATTGGTGGTGGCAATTTTTTTATTTTTGTGTTTTTTGTTGTTGTTGTTGTGAGTGTTTGGTTGCTCCACAGTGAGCACGTGTTTCTAGTGTGTGAAGAGACGGAGCCAAGACTTGGACTCTTCAGCAACTTATTAGCAATGGCTGTTGCATTCATACACCCTTTAGGAGGAGGAGGAACTTGGGTACTTGAAATGTGACAACCCAGTTGCAAAACCTCGTCTCTTTCATGCCGCTTTACAAACATTCCAGACAGATATTTTTAAATTTTTGAAAGGACGTTATCTGATTAAACAAAGTAACAGAGATGATGCTGCATGTATGGATCCATCATAGTTGGTTTTTTACTTCATTATATTCGTTCGGAACTTATATAAGATCAAAAAAATTATGTTATATTCTAAATTGTTTCAACCATGATTGTTGAGTTCAGTTGGATATCTTTTGCAAAAAAGGATCTGCAATAACATATTGGAAAGCTTGAAGCAAGCATGAAACTTCAATTTGAAAAAGATTAAGAGCTATGTAATTTCTTAGTTGATGTGTTTTAAATAAAGAAAAATGATCTTTTTTAAAATTTTAAAGAAATTCTTTGAATTTTAATACTTATTTTTTAGAAATATGTTTTTTATGTATATTTTTTCAATCTTTTAATTCCAATCATGGTATTTTAACTTACACCAAAGTTGCATTCTTATTATCATTATTTTTAAATATTACAACATGAAGAAAATTATTTATCTGAGTGGTATCTTTTATTTTCATACATAGTATTACCTATAACTTCTATATGCAGTATGTAATAATAATAATAATTATTATTAATCAAATCAAATCAATTGATTTTTTAAATTCATAATGAATTTATTTTATTAAAAATATCAACATTTTATCATATAAATTAATAACTAGTATAAAACCAACTGATGTAAATATATTATAATATTTAAAATAATTAAAATCAAGTTTTGTAATATTTTCTCTGCTTGTAAAATATAGTTTTTATCAAATTGATAAAAAAACAACTCATAGAAGGTAATGTTGTTGAAGAAAAAATGCATGTCCATATTAATTGTTCAAATCCTTCAATAACAAAAGTCACATATTTACTGGGGAATGTTAAATAGATCCACACTTTTACTAAATAGACCCATTCTTGATGAAGAACTTGGTAATCATGATGAATGTGGTTGGTTTTTATTGGTTGCAGATTTAACAGTGGAAAAATGGATCCAAAAGTCATTTTTTTGTTCATTTAGGATGGTTAAGATGGGTGGCCGATTTAGTAAAATTTTGGGTCTATTTAACATTCCCCCCTTTATTTATCACTAAGACATAAATATTTATGCAATGAAACAATCATTAGAATGTACAACTTTAATTGAAAATCCTGTATGCAAGATCGTTGTTGTGCATTTTTTGATTCTTTTGTGGATGACATGAACAATAAAATTCCATTCCATTCCATCTCATTATGGATTTTTATCATTCTATTTTAATGTACCATTTGTGCAGGGGGGATTTGGCTCTTCATGAGCTTCACGCTTATAGGTGTCATGTGGTGGATGTCCGACTGCCAAACCGTGGAAGCAGGGTCAAGAAGCGGTCCCTTGGCCGTGTCTGGAGAGTGCCGGAGCTATGGCGGACACGGCGAGAGCTAGGCTTCGTTAACGACGCCGACGTTACAATCCGATTTCTTGAACGTGGCCTCTTCGTGTGGTGCGATACTTTAAGCTAATCGAATACTGAAACGGAAGTGAAATGCATCGTTTTCGCTGCTAGAAGGTAGAAACGATTGAGATGTTGGGAGTGTGTTCCATTTGCAGAAAATTCTGAGACTAGTGCACAAAAACTTAAAATTATGATCTCCAGGATCCAGTGAAGGCTAAAATTTTATGAAGCAGTGACTGTACATGTGTGTGCGCTGCGCAATTTCTTGAAGCTTTCTTCTATCGGTTGCGTCACCAAGCATCTCCACCCTAAAATGCGTGGAACTAATTCGAGCAACACAGACAGCCGTTGTCCTCGTCATTTTTGTCGCGGTTGCGGATTTTTACAGGCTACTCAATTTCCGGTCAAAATTTCGCATGCTATAGAATAACTATGTTCCAATATGGAGAGATTCTACCTACGCTGTACAAAATTGGCATTGTGGTTTAGAATTCCCTCTCCACGCGTGTTGCAATCGTCGGGTTTGGCACGCTCATGTAATGTGTCCGTGCGGTGTCTCTGTACGCTGGGCACAAGCTCCGAGAGTATGTATCACTGCTCGCACTGCTGCAGCTGTGGTCAGAGTACGAGATCTGTTCTCTCCTGTTGTATTGGACATGCGCCATGTGACTCCGGTCTTCATGTTGGTCACTGTGTGATATCTGGTACGAGGATACCTCATATTTGTGCTGCTTGTAGTGAGAGCTTTGAGAGCAGAATGTGGCACCCTTCCTCACCCGCTTCAAGTGTTTCAGGGCTTGTGCAGGTTCCAAGTAGCCTGACACCGTCACCCTCTGATTGTAAGCGTCGCAAAGCACTGATTGAACGCTCCGCAGGGCATAGAGAGCGTCTCGCACCTGGTCTTCGCACCTAATGCAGCACATCGGCACCATCAAGTCGAAAGTGATACATTCTACTTGACGACTGGGCTTTGGAACCTGGATATCATTAACATGAGAGTAAGTAAGGGGGGCTTGCCGTCCATACTGGACGAAGAAGGCAGGCTCACTTCCCCCGTAAAACATTTCCTGCATAGACATAGCCATCTCCCTGTCCGTGTTTGACTTCTCTTGAAAACCCAAAATCACTTGAAGTGCAACAAGCACATACAGCAACGAGCAATGAGTGATGAAGGAATTTGGGGAGGCAGAAAAGGTTATATACAAAATGTGGCCGCACATGCCGAAGGAAAGGACAAATGTCTCAAATTGCAGCAGAAAGATGGAGGGAGCAGATTCAAAGTGCGGCTCCGGTGGATCCCAGTAGGGGCGGCATCCAGGAGCCCCTCACGGCTGTCCTTTGCCTGTTCCCGAGGTGTGCCATGCTGGAATCGCATAGCATCCAGACTTTGCGAATGCGATTGCACCGACTCTCCCAACGTACTAATAATACCTGTGAAATCTTATTCATTTCGTTACCAGAGGTTGATGTTCACGTTGATTTTATGAGCGCAAGCATGTGCGTCGACGACCCATCTCGGAAGGCGGTGAAGACCAGTTCAGACTCAGCTTGGTTTCGTCGTTTTGAGACTTTTGTCCCGGGGGCCGGTACGTCTCGTAATGGGAGACAAACCATTATTAGCAAGAATAAAGTGGAAGTGTACTAAAAATAAAAACTAATGAAGAATTGGAAGTAAATGAACGATTACTCTGCAAAGAAAGATGAGTGGCAGAACAATTTTTCTGTTAAATACTGATATTTAATTCAAGCGTGGCATTTCCGACACTTTTTGTTAGAAAAAAACCACTATGCGAAAACTGTGATTTAATTCTTTATCGTAAAATACACTTTCACAATTGAAATTTTGGCTTCCCCTCCAACGTGTAAAAAAACATTTAAAAAATATGTGCCAGTGATTTCTTCTGAGTATGCATCTCCTGGATCTCCAGTGTGATGGCTCTGCCTTGCAACTTTTGATATCTTTTGGCTGCTCCTCTTTGAAAGTCATCTTTCCAACAGTAGGTGTGGTACGAGGAATTTGTCTTATTAAGCAACGATGGGTCGCGCAAGCCTTGTATTTCAGCTCTCACCCAAATAATACAAAAAATCCTCTCCAATCGCGATTCGAAGTCATCCAATTCTATATAATTTGAAAAGAACACTGGTCTGCTGTGTCCAGTACCCCATTGGAATGCACCGAAAAGTTCCCGAGTAGGTGGATAGCGCGGTACACATCTCGGGAATCGGACAATCAACATGCTTTTGCAGCTCCGTTGAAAGAACTGCACAAGTGGCTGGAACATCAATCATGAAAAGAATGACAATGTCCAAGTGGAAGCAAAAAAGCTGAAGGGGCTGACGAAGTCGACGGTTGTCTATCATACAGTTGGGGAGACGGTTGTCTTATTCAGGTCCGTGGCTTGATGCGACGCAATTTGCCAGAGACGAAGTAGATGACGCGCACGGACAACAGGTTGAGCTCACAAATGGCAATAAAACATGAATGTCTCTCGCCTACAGGAATGATAATTTTAGCAGAGCCTTGCGAAATTCCGAATCTGTTGTGCTCCACGAAACCTGTAATCAACTATATAGTCATCATTTGAGATGGTGGTGAAATCGTTTCGTATATCGGTATTGTGAGGTTCTGATGAACCCATCCAAATTAACGTCTAAGATATCATTCCTCATGGAATGGTTTGGAGTTGAGCTGTTAACTGTTGTGAACTGCAGTGAACTGTTAACATTCATGACTCGACTACTACTTGAAAAATAGTAGCTTCAACACTCGGGTACTTCACTCTGCTCCTGAGTCCGCTCAGCAAGGGGTGTAAAGATTCAGGTGGTCTGTATTCCTATCTCTTTAAAGAAGGCGAGGGGTTTCCCAGTTGGTGTCAAAAGTAAATTAATTATTAAATAAATCGGATTGAATGGAGATCGGTAGCAAGGCGTTGGAAAATACTGTCATCGTTAGTGTCATTATTATCTGAGGACCATGTAGAGAATTAGTTCACAAGCGACCTCAGTCATCGGGAATTCATACATCCGAACGAGTATGTTGCCCGATTTTATTGAAATAAAATAAAATAAAATAAAATAAAAAATTCGCTAGCATGTCCACTCTAATACTCGTGTACTTGCTTCTGATCCGACTATTCTAAAAGCATGTATACACAAAGCAATTTCACTATCTCCGAAAGGTAAAGTTTCAATCTTCTGTTCAAATGTTTACGCTATGGAGGCCAACCACTTCAATGTGAAGCCCGTTTCTACATACGCTATACAGCTTCACAACAGGCTTTAAGAATCATATTGGGTTCTTGTTACAATGCCTTGATTAGCACTTACATATCCGGTAACAGACTCCACTCTATGCCTGGGGCAGTTGGTACGAGAATAAGTTGAATCGCTGCTGGAACGATAACACTGTTGACCATGACTTGATCCCCGAAACGAAGAAGCGCTGAAATCGTGCTCGCTGTGTGAGATGCCAGAGCTGCAGAGTGCTGCTTCGTCTTTCACCCACCTCACCTGGTTCGAAGCTCGCGCAGCAACCAAATGCCTGGTGTCCATCGTCATCTGGTCCTCATATTCGTTGCAGTTGATCGGCCCCATCATATCACAAGAGGTCTCCACAAGTCCACAGTGGGACCAAGGTACAACGTGTTTGGAGTATTGTGCATACGGAGCTGCGGTTTGCCGTGCATAGTGAGCGAAGTACTCAGGCTCCCTTCCATAGAAAACGTCATGCATTGTCACCATGGCCTCCCTTGTCTACCAATACTAACGATGAAACGAAGCTGCACTACAATCCTCACTACAGTTTTTGGCGATGGCAAGAAAACAAATCGACAAAAGAGCGCCAGCGGAACTGCAAGACACAGGATCGACTGTGCAGATCGATGCATGTGGATGAAAATATGCACACACATACATGTTTGCATTTACAAGGAAATAAAAGGAATTTGAATGTTGCATTAACAAAGTATTGATATTAAATGAGTTGTATAAACACAATTTTTTAATAATTTTTTTTTAAAAAAAATTACTCATAGACTTTAATTTTTTTTAATCTATTTGACAAAAAAGAAATGCTTTGGTATAAAAGTTATTTAGATATTGACAATGATTTGGAAAAAAAATTGATTGTTAGTATATATATATATATATATATATTAAAGAATGTTAAAATGACCCATCCATTTACTAAATTGCCCCACCCTATTGTGACCATCATTAGAAAAAAGGATGATTGTAATAATAGTTTTCTCAAACCCCTTGTTCCTAGGCCCCCTCCCTTTGTTCCCAACTCTCATCCTAACCTCCCTTATTCTCCCTCATTTATTATGATAAGATAGGTTGATTTAATAAGTAGGTGGATCATTTTTACATTTCCCTATAATTTAACATATACTTTGAAAGGTATAATAAACAATATATTTCTATATTTCAAAAATTACCATGATGAAACTAAACAACATAAAATATCAATCCATAATGTAGAAGTCACAATTATAAACCTTTAAGTTTTGAAGTTCTTCCCTATTTGATTTGATTATTATTATTATTATTATTATTTTAATTGTAAAGAATTGCATGTAAACATTATAATACATACAATCTCTTAACATGATTATTGTGGATAATCTCTAATATTGTGGTCTCTACAAACACATTGTATTGACTGATACGACACATATGGACATTATCTATAATATTTCACAACCACTCGATACTTGTGGTTTAAATCAATTTTGATTAAGTTAATCCCAATTCACAAATTAATTTTAAAAGATAAATCTATTGGGTTCAGGATGAGTTTCTTATTCTAAATGTAAGGTTTTAGTGTGGTTGTCCACAAATTAAGTATGTGCGAAAAGGGTAATTGAGAAAGAAAACGGAAACAAGAAATAGTATTTTCTGAAATCAATGCAACGAACTTGCAACGTACGTGAATCAGCGAGATAGCTAGGTTTACCAGAGATAGATGATTATACAATATTCGAGGATCTAAGGCTCCAGAGGAAACTACGGATCTGCGTCACTCTGCATGCCATTGCTACAAGAATTGTACATTACACGCGATCTCCAAAATTTTCATGAACATTCCAGTGAAAAATTTGTTCTCATGTTCCTCTGCTGAAATACACATATCAGGCGAGTCAGGTTCCCAACCTGGAGCTGTATTAAGAGTAAATAATAGGGTCTAGATACTCCAATCCTGCATCCAGTACTTCCACAATCACTAAAATATTCAATAGATACTAAAATATCTTCGCATCCTCCCGAAAATACAATATGGAAACTGTTGAAGACAGTATGAAGTAGAAAACTTCCTACTCCTACTTCCTGTTGACTCGGTTGTAATTTTGTGTTCGGATGTGCAGATTCAATAATTGCAGAGCAAGAAAACTATGTAGAATCTCACATGGCTTATCCAACATGAGGTTAATGGTAATTCTTCTACCAGAAAAATATATCATCCCAAAGTAGGATGACACATCACTCAACACACCACTGAACAACTTCGGCGCGGTTTGCAAAAACTGCAGTATTTGCTATTTCCAACACCTCATGCAACCCTTCAAGTATCAATAAGGATCTATGCATCGAATTAACAGATCTTGTTTACTGTACAGAATCGCAGTTACATGAGGAATAAGCGAATTAAACATACCCGCTAGTGGTGAAGTGAACACCATCTCAGGTTCCTCGGGCATAGGGAACTCAACTCCATTTTCTTCAAAATAATTGCAACCAAACTAATTTCCCTCAGGTTTACGTCCAACTGGGCATGGGCGCAAGGCAATCGTAGACCCGCTCCATTCTTTCTGCTATCGCAAGCTTGTAAAACGTTGGGAGTCTCGGATTTGTTAAGTCAAGGATATCCCTTCGCAAGCTGCATGCAAACAGAACTAAATGAATTTAAAAGTGAAATTGAGATACTAAAAATCTGATTCAAGCAAAAGACATGCAATTAGCATCCTCGACAAGCTTTGCATACATATTATGACGTTCGGGTGCGCTCTTCTTCATCGATGCACACATCACACGTATATCTAACAGAAAATTTTGATGTAACAAGGTGATTACTGCATGACACAGAACAGTCTGAGACAAATACTCTGAACATAGTAAGTATTATGATGACGTTGAGCTGACCTAAGCCATTCGCCACTGTTTTCTGCCGCTCTGTGTACTCCTTTATGCAACTGATCAAGGCTGTAAATCAGCATCCCGTATTCAACTGATACATCATCTCCCTGACAAATCCAAGTTGAAAATCCACAAAATTCCGTCAATACAACTTCTAAGCTTGTAGCACACGATGATGAATCAAAATGCTACTGGTTAGAAACGCATGAAGAAGCATAGACTATTTATGGCTACGTTTCATTCATATGATTGTCATTGTCACACATGGTTCTGTTGTATATATTTCACTATTATTATCACCTTCAAAATGTCACTAGAATTCTTCACATGGGTGCCTTGATGACACGAAAAGCAGGCATATAAAGAAGTTTATCTATACTGTTGGTTCCAAAGAAAACTAGGTTAGAAATTAAACTTACTCGATTCTCATCGTCTTTTATTTGGCAGGTCATAACTCCTTTCTCTACTTCAACCATAAGCATGCGACGCATCATTTGGGCGGTCCTACCTCTACCTTCTGCCCCTTTCTGCAGGAAATTCACAAAGCAGAGACCAGAAAAGTTTAGAAAATAACTTTGTTGCTGTTACCTCACTGAGCACCAGTGACCAAAAGACGAGTTTCATAGTTAACATAACACAGATCAGTGTGCACAGTAATCGAATCTAGATCATGATATATTTACTTGCTTAGACCCCTGGCCTTGAACTCGAGACGAACTCCAAAACAATCGCACAATGCACGGAGTAAGTCTCAAAATTTGATTGCAGAGTATTACTAACCTTATTGTTCAATTGACGACGAATCAATTCACCGAGAATGAGAAAAAGAGCAAAAGCTGGTAAAAATGTTAAAATTGCAAAGTTGATCTCATTTGCTCGTAGAATTTTATTCAAATCCAGCATCGCCCTACAAAGTATCAAAAAAACTCAATACTTATTTCTGCATGATTACTAAGGATTAATATTAATAGAAGACACTGCATTGACAAGTACGAAATTGAGATTGAAAGTCTGGAAATTGATAAAAGTTATTCAAAGAACACTACATCATCGCCCTATGGTTCAAAATCGCCATTACAAGTAAAAACACTTCATCTTATTACTGTGACAAAGTATAGACACGCAACTTACATCTCTACATCAAGTTTCAGCTTTTGAACCTGTAACATACAATGGAACATGCAGGCGTGAATGATTGATCTGATTAGGCGACAAGACGCCTCTAGCACTACATCATACATAAACCTTGTGATGAATCAATATCAAAGCCAACCCTGAAATAACATCAAAGAAATGTCAACAAGTAGGTAGCGGACACTACAGTTTACACATAATGTTCCCATTATATAACTGTTAACAGGGTTGAAAAAGACGCTTAAGGCAGGTCCTCACATGGCAATTCTTGAATGACACCACGATATGATAGATGATTAAATGCTATCCCTTAAAGCTGGGTTAACTTGACGTTACAGACCAAGTTTATGCAAATGAACTTATACATTGCTGTTCTATCATCAATGAGATCTAAAATATGAATTAACCAAGTAAGACAGCAAAGAAAGAAAAGAAACCTGTATCAGCAGCGCCCTTGCCAACTCTCCACTAACAAGGTTTTTGACAGGGTTGACCAATTCTTGTTCATATCTGACAAAAGCAAAAAACAACATCAAGAACAAGAGTGGTCACTCCCCAAGAAAACAAAATACTTTCCCTTACTTAACAAATAAGATATAACTACAATCTGCATACATCTTTATTAACCATGAAAGTCGCTATAGAATTTTTTCTAACCTGCTCATCACAATTCTCATCATCTCCGCTTCCGATGCAGCCGATACCACTTCAAGACCACTTGTTTGCATCACAAATTCTTTGACCATCCTGCATTTGAAAGTCACAAACTACTCAGGAGAAGACCTCTCAACTTGGGTGCTCGAATATGAATGAAACATAATTTTAGTTACAGCTTACATTCACCAAAGGCGCCTATAGACAGGTCTAATATACACCATCACAACTTGCTGGTGGAGACATGTTGACAGTTGAGTCATTCTTATTTAGAGTTGGTATAGAAGCGGGCCCCAGAAACAACCAGTAAAACATCTCCAATAACTTCCCTACACAGTAAAAAATCATAGAAATACAAATCTGCTGGAGATGCCTTGAAATCCCATGCATTTTTCAGAGCTTGAAACCCCATCAGAATCCAGCTTAATAAATCAAGGCAGAAATATCGCACGCCGTAATTTATCATGTTACCCCCTGTCTACAAATATCACAAAACTGATCTAAAATAAACCAAGAATAGATTCAGGGAATATGTCAAGACCCAGGTTTCAGACTTGCAAGTAAGACTTAAGTGAAACCAACTAAGTCTATAATTAACGAAAAGCACCTGTTTAGAGAATCTGAGGCGAGCTTCACTTCTTCAAGCTGTGCGGAACTCTCGCGACGTTTGCGAAAAGTGTCAAAGAGTTCGCTTTTGATGGCCGTTAACTGACAAAACAATTCCAAGTTTTAATGTAAACAGATAAGAGGAAAATTCTTTCACATCCAATGCATGCAAGTTCTTAGTGCTACAATCGTTCTCCGGAGGACTACATAAACCAAGAGGCAACACAATGCCATCAAGGGAGTAAAAGGTACATAGTAATGAACCCAAAATGAACTTTTTAAATTATCTTCCCTCACGCTATAAGAACCACGAATGGTTTCCCTTACAACGTGCATCATCATTACAGAAATACATTTGGGTTTTAACAAAAGCCCTACCGGTTGGTGCAAACGCCTTTCATAGAACAAGTACGAATCTTCACGAGCCTTATCGATCCATCGGCCAAGGTCATCACTTCCTCCTAACCGACTGTGCTGTACAATCCAGACAGAAGCCATAGCAAGTCCAACCGCACCACCAGTGTAGTGGAGCCAATACCTAACCAAACGCCTTGGCTTTTCATAATAAGGCACCTGTAAAGATGAGAACGAGTTAACAATCGATATTCGTGGCACAGTGGAAGAGTATAACTTCCTCTTCTACTGTAGGTTTACCAACAAGGTGAGGTAAAGCTTGCCGGTTGAACTTGCATGCTTAAATTGTGTTCCTAAGTTTAAGTGATATATCAAGAAAGGAACATGAGATCCTGTTCCAGTGAAAACATCCAGCTTTGAATGCCTCTGTCCCAGAAGCCTCAGAACCTCAATTTTCTGTTCTACATTCCTAATACAAGTAGGAAAATGCCAAGAGAATGGGCCACATATGATGAAAAATTTGCAAGTGATGGCTCGGAAAAGAATTTTACTAGATCAGACAGAAACTCTTTCAGCTTCACTACGTTGCTCTGCAGCAACTGAATAGCAGCTTGGAGTTCAGAATCGGTCCAATTTATTCCTCCCATAAGATCGTCCGGCATCCGGTCAAACTCGAGGACAATAGTCCTCGATTCATTCGAATCTCCATGACCATGATAATCACTCTGCCAATTTCAGAACATCTTTGCTCTAGATTTCAGCATGGTGTAAAACGTGCAGAAAAGAAGGCAACTTCCCAGAAACCCAATAGAACTTATCAAGAATGTCATGGTTAGTAGGTGCAATACTTGAAGAATGGTCCAAAATACCTGAATATACATAAATGTAAGAGTTCACAATGCATCAAGAGTGGGGCGTTACCTGCCTGTGGGAGGTCGTAAACTCCTTCCAGTCCATTCAACGAAACGAGAATAGCAATTACACACTGAGAGAGAACACGTCGACTTTCTCCCCTGCGTCTATTCTCCCGTCCTGTGTCCACTTTCTCTTCCAACTTTGACACCTGAAGATGAACCTAGAAACAAGCAAAACAACTGACTCAGAAAACCCTAAAAAGGTATGTCCCCACCTTCTCACAACTTTTCGTGTTAAGTAGATCAGATCTAACCAACACAGAATTACCTGGCCAATGATGATGGCAAGTCGTTTACGGAGAGTGTTCAGCATAGTCACTCTTTCATTGATGCGGGAGTAGGCAGCAGATAGTAGCCCACTTGTAAGTGACGATTCCAAAAAGAAAGATTGAACAACTTTCTTTAATCCTCGAACAAAGGCAACTGGGCCCCTTTCCAACATCATGAACCGAACTTTATCTTGCTCTGCACTCTGCTAGTTCAAATAAAATTAGTAAAAAAAATAGTAGTAAGAACAACGAAAGCTAAGTAGATGGTATCTAATGCAAGACTCCTAACGGCTATGTGCGAAGATAGAAACAGCTACATGCACCACAGCGTACGCATACGACCTAAAATACCTGGGCTTTAATTTGCCAAAATTTGAGATGCTTGTTAACGTAATGCATTAGCTCCAGCAGCTCTCTTGATATGTTCCCAAACACATCCAAAAAATTCTCTGAGCCCTGTGTTTCGTCCCTGCACATACGCATTTATCACACAATGCGGTACCATACAAATCGAGAGTGCTTAAGACAGCTTGGCCAGTTATCGATCTTAAACCCTAAACCTTCACATGCACATAGATTCGTGACTAAAATACCTTCAATCGAGGCTCACCACAGAACGAATTAACTGCTATATGAGGAGATTGAGCAGAAATTTGATATCGTAAAGTAACTCCGAAAAGAAGTCCATAGGCATTGAGAAATCTAGGTCCATATCTAGCAGAACAAGAGCAGAATCCGACTTGGAAACATACGCTAATTATACTTGGATTGCTGCCATATGCCATTGTACAAACCCTCTGATTAATTTCCCCTATGGACGCGTACTAGGAAGTAAGCGCCTCCGTGAAGACACGAACTACCCTGAAATCTGTCTACTTAGATAGCATACCCTAAAATGCAGGGATGAGATTCTTCCCGGTCATAACGAAGCAACGCACAATCTTTTTATTTGATACTTACAGAGTAATGTGGTAAGGAGATGTGTTCTAATTGGAAATTACGTAGTAACAAATTGGAAAGTGTGGGAATGAAGATGCTTTACAGCAGAGAAGGTTGTGGCGCCGAAAGAAGCAGGGGCAGGCCTTCGCGCGGCTTGCGCTTGAACGTTTTCAACCACTCATTGGCCCATTTGTTCACGTAATACGTCCCTATCAATCGAACTGCACCCTCCATCATCTTTTCCGGATATCGGTGAAATATGATCTGAAAATCGAACCAATAAAATTATCAATTCAGCCGATGCATTACAAGAGACGGGTATCGCAAATTTGATAAACAGTCGTACAACAAATCCATTGAAAAGAAGGAAAGAAAGAAAGAAAGAAAGAAAAAAAAAAAAAAAAAAAAAAAAAAAAAAAACCTTCAACTTGATACGTAATGATTATATGGCATCGGCATCTCGCCAGCGGTGACACTTCGTACACAACTATTTAGGTCAAAAGAGATGTACAATCGCTACCTCAAGAGGCCAGAAGCATCTCATACATGAACATAATCAAAATAGACCTATGAAAAATGTCATTCGCTAGAAGTATTCACAAAAATCATATTCTTCGAGAAGATATCCTGCAATGAGTTTAAGTCAAAAAACCAGTAAACATTATCACAATAAACAGATGATTGACGAAATCATAAAAACAGAGCCGGATTATGTCCACTACAGTAGCACCAATACCGTAAGACTGAAAGCCACCTGACCTAGGTTGACTTAGCAGGATGCAGAACCACAAATGTCTGCTATAAAACACAACTAAGAAGCACGGGATTGATCATAACAATGCGTCAGTTCAGTGGAATCCGATCACAAACATTCTCAACAAAGGAATGAATCAACAGAATCCAATCCCTGCACAAGATACAATCTCACACACAGAACGCTCGGAAACCAGCGTGACCATCTCAGCAGCTTCAAAAACTCATTCAAGTCTCCATTCTCAACTATCATCCAAGTTCATAGCAACGCACGACAAGGTCGAAACACCGTGAACAACGAGCAATGAAACATGAAACTTGCCAAATCCAAAAATTAGCAAACGTGCTCACCGCGCACTACCGCAAAAAAACACAAAACAACTCCATGTTTGCTGAAAGAATGCTCCAAACGCACCGCAATTACGGCGCTCGACGCTAAAATTGGAGTATCAACACAAATGAATACGAATACAAGGAAAAAGCGCCTCACCTCGCATTCCATCGTCTTCGCCAACATCATAAGTACGGTTCTAAATACGCATTCGCAGGAAAACGGTACTTATGATTATACTATGGAAATCCGTGACATCCGTGATATCCGTGACATTGATTCATCCCTTTCATGCTTCATCCATCTAAACTGCCTCTCAAGCGCAGACTCAACTTTTGTGTCTGGAGAGCTACGGCGACACTTGACCGTCTTCAATGCTCATTTATATAATGCTCACTACCCTCGTCATTTCATTCTGGTCCTACATCTCGTTTTCAGAAAAAATTCCGATGCACGATGTAGATATTTGTGCCATCAAAAGAGACATAAGGTTGCTGGATGTTTCGAATTGTTGCAGCGAAAGATTAAGAGGACTTTCGAGTTTTTCTTACTGCTGGCTTGAGCAGGATTTGTGAGCGACTAGACGTCCTGGTCATTCTCTCAGTGAGGGAGTGGAAGGCGTGAAGGATTCCGAGAGGTTGGTGGGAGGATTTTCTGATATTATTTGGGATCCTCACAGTTGCGCATTCTCACACCCTCGATTGCACTCGAAACCACAGTACTATAGCCAGGAAGCTCCTACATATGAATGGTATGGTCCATCGAGAGCACCCACTAAAGTCGAAGAGTCTGTGGGCAGTAAAGAGGTGAGAATGATCTCTGTTTCAGATGGGAATGTACCTGTGGTGGTGCTGCAAAGTGCTCCGTCTGCTTCATGCTTCTACATTTTATTTTATATTTCATTTATTTAGTATCCCTTAAAAGACATTAGTTATACTATGTTAGAGAGCACAATATATTTGCATAATTTTTTCAAGTAAACTTTTTCCATTAAAATTGAAAAAAAAAAAAAAAAAAAAAAACTAAAAAAAAACTAAAACTAAACTAAACTAAACTAAGAAATGATAAATATAATATCTAAAATGTAAAGCATAGGCAATAAAAAAATATAATTTTTTTTGTTAATAATTTATACATTAGAACAACTAAAATATTTTTTAAAAAAACTTTGTTGTTAGAATAAATCACATGTTTCTATTAAATTATATTAAATGAAGGAAACTAAAATTATTATTAAAATAGATATAAATGGTTATTTTAGGTTGAACTATCAATCCTTCAAATAATTTGATTTAATAATGTATAAGTACATATTTTCTACAACTTATATGTTTATATTTTCTAAAATTTATAAATGATAGAATTTTACTTAATTCTATTAATATATTTTTAAAATTGTTTTCTTTAAAAAAATTTAATTTTATAGATATTCTAAAAAAACATCAAGTCAATGCTCATCTAATTTTTCTAATAAATAATGGGATTTTTTTAAAGATTGATTATCATCCAACCATATACCAATGGAAATGTAGAAGTTAGCAAATTCAAATTTGATGAAAGATATGACTTCTTAGCCATAATTAACTCAAATAATGTAGAATTTTTAGTTATTTTTTATAATACAAATATGCCCATATATACTTTGATATATATATAATTTTTAGAATTATTTTTGTAAGAATATTAAAGAACAACTATTGGTCTTCTTAGTTTAACCATTAATAATAATAATAAAAAAAATGATATGGTATTGCCTTACAATATCTTATAAAATTTTTAGTTTAAAAGAATTTAATTTTACTATTAAGAAATATTTAATATAATTAATAATTAATTATTTAGAATAAATATAACAAGTAATAATATAATCATATAAAAAAAATAAAAAATAATGGTAATATTGTCTTGTCAAGTTATAGTGACTATTATCTATTTAGTTATATATTTAAAATGCAATCAAAATATAATATTTTTTTTTTATCTTAAAGTAGGTGTAACTGGTTTTATAAAATTTAGATTTTTTTTCTCTTCAAATGAATATTTAGCAAATAATAGTATCAATGGCATGGTTGTTAAAGTTACTGATTTTTTTGCCTTTAGACAAGGATAATAATGTTAATAGTAGAAAAGGACATTATTAAAAAATTTGGACTACTAACAGCAAAAATTTCATATATTATAAGTAAAAAATTTAAAAACTAGGTATCTTTCTCTATTATCCATATAGAAATCTATTAAATTATCTAAAAAAACACTTATATTTAAAATGATTAATTTTAGAATTTAATTTTTTAATTTTTTTGAGTATAAAAAAAGATCAATCTTAAAATTTATTCTAAAATTGATATCAAATAACTTAGAATTAAGAAAAAAATTATTATTTTAAAGTAATAAAGATATATTTTTAAAAATTTATAGACTACATATCTAACTATACTTCAAAATAATTTTCCAGTTTATTTGACAATAATATCAAAATTGAATACTTTTTCATATTTAACATAAATAAAGTTGTGAGATTGCCTAATTTATTTGCAATAATTTCAACTCCAAGCACCTACCATATCAAAAGTAGTCAAAGATATAAATTCTTATCAATGAATATTTACTATAGTTATATAATTTTTCACTTTAATATTTATTATTCTTTGTTTTCTAAAATGTGGTACTTTTTTCATACCAATTTCTGCTACACACTTCTGTATTATCAATTTCAAGCTTTAAAAAATGTTTATAAATTTTGGTTGTTAAAAAGATTTAATTTCTAACATTCTTGAATAAACATTATTAATTTATTAATTAAGAATAAGTTTGTTCTTTTTATTCTAATGCCTCTTCTATCATGTGAAAATTATCAAATAAATTATTTAAAAAAAATAACAGAAAATATTATTATAAATAAATAAAATTAATAGACACATTGATTTATTTATTTATTTATTTATAATTCCTTCAAGACCCATACAATTTTTACCACCATAAAATTAATTATTTTGTATGCTTTTGGATTCTCTCCAAATGCAATCTTAGACAATCCAAACTCAATTAATTTTTATTTCAATATTTTTTCTAAATTTTTTTACATTAATTCCATCTCTAGACTCAAATATATTATTTTTAAATATTATACAAGATTTATGAGTTTTAAATTTATTAAACTTCATTGCAAAAGAATAATCCATTAAGCTGGAAAAATTCAAACTTGCTAGAGTCAGATTAGATAAAATAAATAAATAAATAAATAAACAAACAATAAACCAATTATATGTATATATATATATATATATATATACACAAGTAATTAGACATACAATGAGTCAGTTAAAAAAAGCCATTGTAAACGAACACCACCTCAACTGCAAAGCCTCAAGCATGTAGAAAAAGAGACTCAGAAACTACAAATATTTGGCACAAAAACAGGGGGCAAAATGGAAGGATCATCAACATGAAAAAATAATCCCTTGTTAGGTTGCTGCCAAGTTAAATTAAATGACTATTATTTCTTTGATGAGCAAGTCCATTTTGATGTAGTTATGCCACACCAAAATTCTACTTGACCAAAGAATCTAATATTGAAGTTGTTGGCATTGACTTGTCAGTAACTATGACATTTTTTTGCTGTAGTTTGACCATTTGGCAGGATATGCATCATGAAACTTGAAGTTGGGTATTGTATCTCAATAAACTACTCTAAAGCTTTGTTTGATGTTCTCTATAGTCATAGTACCATTCTGCATATTACATTATACTATTGACCTTCTCTTCCCTTATAATATTTGCTATTCTACATATTAGTATTAATATGTTCACCACCTACTTAGGAATAGTTTTAGATGTAAATTTAGAGATGGAGTTAATGTAAAATTTCTCTTAGAAATTTGCATCTAAAACTATTCTTCTCAAAGAAATTTGCATCTAAAACTAAATTATGGCATAATACATTTAGACATTTAGCATACTTAAATTTAAAATAACTTTATATAAATTATAATATTATAATATTAATATGATAATATTGAAGAATTACCTTTTATTGAAGTTATTCACAAAGAAGTATGCAAAACTTATATTATTAATTATCAATATAGGAAGAAATTTTCAAAATATAGTCTCAATAAGTTTAAGAATGTCTTACAATTAATTCACTTTGACCTTATGGGATTTATTTCTAAACCTTTTTCAAGTGGTATTAAGTACTTTATTATCTTTAGTAATGATTATTCTCAAAGGAATTAGATTTATTTTCTAAAATTCAATGATGATGTATTTTTTAAATTCTCTATATTCAAAATATAGCTAAAAAATGAAGCTAATGAAAAATTCTTGATTCTTCGTATTAATAAAAGAATTGAATTTTTATTATAAGAATTTTAAGAATATTATCAAAATTATGGCATAATAAGATAACTATTTCAAATATTAATTCTTAAAAAAAATAGAATTATATCATTGATATATATTTATTATAATTATTATTTAGATAATATGAATAAATAAAAATAAATAAAAATAGATTAATTTTATAATATCTTATAAAGAATATTTTTAGAAGCTTTATAGATGCTACTTTAACTTTATATGTGTTTGTGGTTGATTGATAGGTTAGAAACTTGGTCAACAAATTAACTATGTGCCACATATATTAGTAGCTTGTGGAACAAGCTAACTATATGGTGCCCATATAAAAAACTAGCCTTGCAAATTAAGATACTTATTGTGCAAAGTCAACATGTTTTAGAAGTCTTATAGAACATTGCCTTATGTCAAGGATATAAACCTCAAAGAATTAAAATGCCAATACACTCTTGTGTCATTAAAAAAAAATTAAAAAATTACTTAAAGATGATATAGTATTAAATTAGAATGGCTATTGCCAAAGACAAGAAGACTTAAAAAGACTTGAAACAAGACTAAGAACTAAAAAGGTGTTGATAAGAATGAAGAAGGCTTCATTCTTGTCTCCATATATACTCTTAACTAAGAGCTACATAGCAATATCTTATAGGACCACTAAAACATGTTGACTTTGCAAGTCATGTATCCTAACATATAAGGCAAGTTTTTTTTATATATGTGCCATATAATTAACATATTCTACAAGTTATCTATACATGGATAACTTGTTGACTAAGTTTCTAATCTATCAATCAACTAAAAATACATGTAAAGTTAAAATAGTATCTATGAAGTTTCTAAAAAGTATCTCTTAAAAATATTATGAAATAAATTTACTTTTATTTACTTCTACTTAATCATATATATAAATATTAGAACAAATATATATGTTTGTGACATTATCCTCTCTTTTAGGAACAAATTCCATAAAGAGTGGTTATCATATGTTAAAAAAATTTAAAATGTGGCAAATTGTATTTGCCACATACTTTGATCTTTATTCTCTTTGAAGATGGATGATAGGTCCTCTTAGCCATCGATAGTGTCTCATATCAAGATAAGAAGGTAAAATGCAATCTTCCATGGATCTTGTTTCTTTTATAGTAAAGATTTTTTATTCTTCATCTTAGTTTTGATGGATGTTGTTGATGAAAAACATCAACCTTCTTTGTTCTATTTGCAAGATTTTTTGTTACTTTCCATGTGCATTTATTAATATCATATCTGCACCAATAAATGAAATATTTTAATCTATTTTGGTACCACCTTAAATCTAAGATTTATTCCACATCAAATTCTTGATTATTATCTACTTC